GAGAGGAAGATTGGGGAGGGGGGGGGGTAAAAAAGGAGAGGTGGTAAAAGAAAATGAAAAGAGAAGAGGTGAGGGGGGAGGGATGATGGCGGTGGTGGTTGAGAGGAAGAGAAGTGCTCATGAGAGCCAGGAGGTAGTTGTTATAGTAACTGTGTCTCTATACCTGTCAATCAGAGCTATTTCAGGCATCTCGCTTCTATGGGAAAAAAAAAAAAATCGCACATAGCAGGGCCAGAGAGCTGCTTTAGTAGAGGCAAAATTATCAGGCAATGCACAGGCACTGATACTGGCAACTTGTGAGCTGACAGATAGCTGATCAAATTAACACCATAAATGAGATTTTAGCACTGTGCCTTTTCCTTTTAGAGCTTCTCGCACTCTCCTCAAAGAAAGTGAGCCGAAGGAGGAACGCTGAATGATAGCCAGGGTGTGTGCACACTAAAGAGGGGCCGTCACAGCAAAACTTATTCAATTACAATCACAATACAAGACCGCATACCTACACTGGATTTTTAGTTTGTGGTGCTTTCTTGGGAAGACAAAAGTCCGCTATTGTCCATTTTTCCCCGATCACACAGCGAGTAAAGGATTAATAATAATAATAAAAAGTCCTCCATGAAAACCTTTGGAATCATTCTAACAAACAGACAACGTGAACCAATCACAGGCAGAGGTTAAAAGTTCACACAGGTAGACCCTCATTAACAAAACACCTGAGAACTTCCAGCATCAGTCCTGTTTAAACTACAAGGAGGGTTCGTCCATGTATGTTTTAATCTCTATTAACTTTATAGAGCAAAGCTCCCAATTTACCAGTGGATATATGTACTTACTCTCACCTATGATCAGGAGCTCTGGGTAGTGACAGAAAGAACAAGATTGCCTCTCGCTTAGAGTAGAGCCACTATTCCTCCACATCAAAAGGAGCCAGTTAAGGTGCATCTGACAACGATGCCTCCTGGGCGAGGTGTTCTGGCCAAGTCCCTATATCTCTCGGCTGGCCTGGGAACACCTCGGGGTTCCCCCGGACAAGCAAGGGGAAGTGGCAAGGTCTGGACTTCTCTGCTTAGGCTACTGCCCCCACAACCCGACCCTGCATAAGCAGAAGAAAATGGATGAAAGGAAGTTTTTGTTACATTTTTTAAAAATATTACAACAAATGGTTCAACACAACACAATACCTAGTCTCTGAATATAGAGCACATAGAACACAGCACACAGGCAGTGACAGATATGGCCAGTATTGACCATATTGTAGACAGGCAGCAAAGGCGATCAGTCATTGATGAGATTTGAAAGCGCCGAAGTGACTGAAAAGTCCCATCCTGATAAACTTTTCCCATGAGGAACTGAGCAAGCAGGTCAAAAATTCCAAAGGAAAGTGTTGCCGGAAGAATTCTGTGTGTTATTTTGCCATTTATCCAAGACATAAAAATGTTTTTCCTTGCAGCGTGTGGAGGCAAACCAGTTAAAAGGAAAAGGACCATTGTGTCAACATTCCTGCTGCTAAATTTAGAAGCACATAAAAAAATGTGCTGCAGGAAGCATGCAGGTGTTTTTACTGAGAAACCCCTGCTGCTGATTTTGTATATTGTGATGAATGCCTAAAGCTTGCGTGTGGTTCTAATGTCAGTTCTAATGTAATTTGTGTAGATCTTTATCTCAGTGGAACTTCCAAGCAAACATCCAATTTTGTTACATTTTTGGGATTTTTTTCCATGTTGGACAGTTTTTAGAGCTTGACACAGTCACTGTGAACTCACACTCATTAGGCAGGTGAGGGAAAAATGCTGTAAACAAACAATGCTTTCCAAAATGGAAGTGTTAATCATTTATTTTCACCAATCAACAAAATGCAGTGAATGAACAAAAGAGAAATGTAAGTCGAGTCAATATTTGGTGTGACCGCCCTTTGCCTTCAAAATAGCATCAATTCTTCTAGGTACACTTGCACACTGTTTTTGAAAGAAATCGGTTGGTAGGTTGTTCCAAACATCTTGAAGAACTAACCACAGATCTTCGGTGGATGTAGCATCCTTCTGTCTCTTCATCTAATCCAAGACACACGCGATGATGTTGAGATCAGGGCTCTGTGGGGCCATACCATCACTTCCAGTACTTCTTGTTCTTCTTTACGCTGAAGATAGTTCCTAATGACTTTGGGCGTGTGTTTGAGTTTGTTGTCCTGCTGCAGAATATTTTTATTTAGGGCCAATAAACAGTCATTTATATTTCTGAAAGTGTTCTTTGTTTACAGCATTTTTTTTCCACAGGTGCCTAAAACTTTTGCACAGCACTGTATGTATTTCTATCTCTAAATATGGTTGATAGAAAAGTTCCTGATTTTTCACTGTCATTTAAATGTTTATCTGGTAATTACTTTGGTGTATATAAAAGGACATAAGGCTGGTCTTTATCATGTCTTTTATATAATAATTATGCCCTCCTTAACATTTTTCAAAGCAGTCCATTGAGGCAGGTTGGAGTCCTTGCTGAGCCTATTTTGGCGCCTGGGCCTTATGTTTGACACCCTTTCCATAAACCCTAGAGATGCTTGTGTGGCAAAATCCCAGTATATCAGCAGCCACGTTCAGTCACTTAATCCCTTTTCCTTCCTCATTCTGAAGCTCGGTTTGAACTCCAGCAGGTCGTCGTGTCCAAACGCTCCGAGCTGCTGCCGAGTTAAATAAGTATGCCTGGTAAGTGGCTGGTTAGTGTACGAGCTTCAGCTCTATATTCCATTATTTTATTAAACGAGCGACTGAAACACTCTTTACATAAACCCTAGGACAAATGAAAAATTGCCCCAAATCCCCCGTTTGGGTATCTCTGCGCAGCAATTTCTCTAATCGAGTATTTCTTTGCAATTATCACCATCATAGCCAAAGAAAAGCCTCGGTTCAGCCTTATTACCGACAAACACATGGTGAGGAGGAGAGCAAAGCGATGAGAGAAAGAGAGAGAGAAGAGTGGGGGAGTAAGAATAGTGTGAACACCAATATGGCTGAGTGCGGAGTTTGGGAGCCATTAGGCAGAAGGTAATTAATACCTGTCACTGCAGTGCTCTGTTCGCTGCCTTTATTCTGTTTCAGACCAATTAAAATATGACACTCCTCCGGTGGAGAACGCCTTGTTAAAATTAAACGGCAGAGACGCACAGACACCTTTGATAAACACATCCAGAGCTACAATTGGCTTTGGCAGCAGCGGCGGCAGAGCCATGCTGTATAGATATACACAGAGAGAAAAACATGGCAGTGTGTATGTGTTGTGTCACTTCCAGTAGGAGATGCGAGCTGTTAGATCTGATTAAAACTGTGTTTCCTTGTGAGTCTCACTCCAAAGCGCGAGCGCGCGCACTGACGTAATCTTGTGAGACGTTTATGAGCCAGGAGATACTGACCGGTGTAGATAACTCACTGCCAGCGATTCGCAGCTCGGGCAGCAAGGACAGACGAATGGTAAGCAAAAACAGATGAGCCAGGGGAGCGAGGAAATGCCAGGTGGTGTACAAAAATAATAATTATTTAGAAAAAGAGAAAACGCTTAAGAGCAAAGCAAAAAAATCTGATAAGAAGGAAAACAAAGGATGGGAAGAGCACAGAGGGAAACTTAAGTGAAATATGGTGAGTTTTTTTTTTTTTTTTAAAGAGTTGTGGTGGTAGGAACCCGAGAAGACAGATTAGACAGAAGAGAGGAGAAAATGGAGAGAGAGGTGGAGTGATGGATGTAGGCAGGGGACCAGCAGCTCTCTGCCAACATCTCCATGCATCCTTCCAGACATCACACTGCGCTGCCATCTGCCTCCCTGACACACACACAAACGCGCGCGCGCACACACGGGGAGGAGATATGCGAAATCATTAGCGTCTCCTGACACTGAATAAATATCTCGGGATGAAATCTGTCTATGGAGAAATCACCTGCGGGGAAATATGATTGGATGAGATCACGACCTCACTGGAACGTAATTTGCATGTCATCTAAATGGGATCTGCCCCCAGTGCTCGGGGGTCAAAAAGCATCCGATTAGTTGGATGGGACAAGTCAATCTCTGATTGGCTGACAGAAACAACAACGGCAGGTAGTGCTGCTTCACACCCCCTCCTCCCCCTCCCCTGTGAACTGCAGGACTGCCCTCTTCTGGCTGCTTTACAAACCTCCACAGTTTAAGGAGAGGAAAAAATAAATAAATCAATAAATAAAAGACATCTAAAACACATAAAGACAAACAAATGGCGTCTAGTTGCTGTTGTTTTTAATCTCAAAGGTGATGGATAAAAACAAAAACACAAAGAGCAGGAGTGGCGCACACAGAGTGTCTCGGTTAATCACATACAGAGTCTTATTTATACATATATTTATATAGCAGAGCCATTTCTCCCACTTGTACAGCCTCTTGATTGTAACACGGAAATAAACCCACATTCCCGGGGTGAGAGAGCGAGAGGAAAGAGTGAAAGAGAAACAAAAACAGTCATCTACATTAGAAAACCTACCGGCCATTCGTTTTTCTCTTGTTTTTTTTATAGATTTATACATCAGAGAAGCATCAGTATTCATTACAAAAATAGTAATATAGTTAATATAGATGCGCTGGGAGATTTGATTGAGTCGATACAGATGCACAGTCTCCAGCGAGGAAATGAAGAGCCGCTCTGTGCGCCTCGATGAGTGTTGTTACAGCAGTCCACCTCAGTCAAAGAGTCAGTTATCATCGGAAAGAGGTTAAGGGTTTAATTTAATCAACAAAACTTTTAGAAAATGAGTACATAAAAAAATAAAGAGGAGGAGGAGGTGTTAGTGCACTGATGAAAGCTGAAACAGTTTTAGGGAAAAGTGCTGCCAGGATCCAGAAAAACATGCGCTTAACAAAAAGAAAGATGAGTTACAGAAAAGTGTTAAAGGCTTTTCAGCAGCTCCACCTTCACACAGCTGCTGTCAGGAGGAGAAAAAGTGTAAGACGAGTGGAGGAGCCCATGGGATTGAAGTGTTATTGCTGGGGATGTTTTTTTCTTTTTTTAATTTGGTGTTAACATGTGAGGAATACGGGGATGAAGAGGAGAGTTATTGCTGAGGGTAGTAGGGCTGTTGCTGAGGGGGTTGTTGGGGGTAGCCTGGGTAGGGCTGTCCTGCTGGAGCAGTTCCTGGGTATCCTCCCTGACCCGGGGTCTGGTAGGGCATGTAGGGCATGTTGGGCATGTTGTACTGGCCGTAAGCATAAGGATTGTAGCCCATAGGCATCTGGTAGTACCTGCAGGGAAAAGACAACAGACGAGACAAACTTCAAACATTGTATAATCAAAACACTTCAGAGTCAAAGGTTGCAGACTTCATTTAAAAGTTATAATGAAGCAAGTAACGCCCTCTTCTAGCATCAGTATACAGAGCTAGAACTGAGTTTGGGTTTAATGGCATTTGCAGCTGGTAAAATTAAAGACCATCTATAGATTTTTAATTGCTCCATGTTTACTGAGAAGATATTTCATGCACCAATGAGAATGCAAACCGGTCAACCTGCACCAAATGAGGTGCTCAGATCTGAGAAATCCACTGAAAAAAACCCCCAAAAAAAACAGAGAGGACAGATTTGAAAACTGACCCAGGGTAGCCTTGGTAGGTGGGGTAAGGTGGTCCCTGGGCCTGGGGTGCCATGGGTGGTGGGTTGTTAGTGGGAGCGGCAGCAGGTTGTGAGCTGGCGGGTGTGGTGGAGGCTGCCTGAGGGATCACGCTTGGTGGAGGTGGCCTGGCTGGGGGCTGGGGCTTTGACTCGGGTTGTTGAGGCTGCACAGGCTGGAAGACGTAGAGGGAGAGAACAGAAAGATGAGCAAACGACTGACAGATGTTGATAATATTCAATGTTGGGCTGAGTATCCGCTTACAAAAACGGTTCTGGGTGCAGGGGTCGGTCCAGGAGCCGGGGCGGCGGGGCCGGAGGGGGCAGCGGGAGTGCTCTGATAGGCGGGAACGTTGAAGGCTGGAGCGCTGGGCTCTCGAGCGATGCTCTGCTGCAGGTCCCTGAGAGCAAAAATCGAACATCACAAATAAAATAAAACAGAACCCAACTGCAAAAACAGTCTTCCTTCTTGGCCAGCTTGGAATGACCGTGCGGGTACGTACTTGAGGAGTTCATCGCGCTCCGTCTTACGGGCAAAAACGATGTCGCTGCATTTGTTCTGGAACTTGAGCAGGATTTCTGTCAGGTCGTTGTAGAACTGAGCGGGGAGAAACAAACGGGGACAAAAATAACTAACCCGGTTTGGGACGCACAAAAGTAGAGCACATCTGACAAAAGATATGCATCGCTGCGGCACGGCTGGTCCCGCTGTTCTGCTGAGCACGTACCTTGGTGCCCTCGCGCAGGTTGTTGCTGATCTCCATGTAGCTGTCGTGGGCCGAGGCCAGCTTCTTGAGGACCTCCTCCCTCTGGTTGGAGTCTGCGTTGGACTGCTTCAGGCTGCTGAACTCCTGGTGGGACGTCTGGAAGCAGATCGCAGGTCGAGAGGACGGTTAACCTCCGACTCCTTTTATTATGTATGCACTTTATGTCCATCTATACATTCTTTTAATCCGATACAGTTAAAGCATCATTCCCGTGAGGGAATTCTGACCCAATTTAAGCAATAAACACACATAAAACCCGCACACTTCCCACCAAAGCTGCCTGTACCTGAACTTTCCCCAGCAGCTCTTCCTGTGTGCGGAGGCTGGCCTGCACTCGCTGGTTGTAGCTGCCGTACAGCTGGTCGAGCTGGCCCAGCGACAGCTGCTCCTCATTGATTGCTCCATCCTGAGCCAGCGCCGTCAGGAAGGTGGTGGACATGTCAAAGGTCACGGACTTGATCTCTCCCTCGATAGTCTCCCTCTCTTTCTTTACCTCCTCCAGCTGAGCGAGCAGAGAGCGCAGCACGTTCACTACCTACAGGGGAAGGTAGACACATGACTTTTCCACAGTCCGACATTAACCTCTCACCCTCGTTACAGTGAGTCCAGCAGCTGGAGAGAGGTGCAGTTCTTTCAGTTCTGCTTGCTTAGTTATTTGAGCTCCCCAGTGAAACACAACACAGTATCAGCAAAAAAAAAAGAAAAGAAAAAGGGAGGCAGTGAGGGGAGGAGGTAAAGGGCCATAAGGAACACAATGTCCACCGGGGGTTTCTGTGCAGCAGGAGTCGACGTTTATGGGACACACACATAAAAAACAAACAAAAAAAAAGCACATTCCCAATATTTAAGCTCACAAACAAAGATGTAAAGATGTCAGACAGACCTCGCTGCCCTGTAGTGTCTTGGTCGGGTTGGCAGAGGGGATGGCGGCGTTGAGCTCGTTCTCTGGTTTACACAGCAGGGCGATCATGTCACAGTGGGTGTTGTAGCGGTCCCTCACCACCTGGTCGGCCTGCACTGCCTTGTCCAAGATGTTGCGGAAGTTAGCGCCCTCTGTGTAGGGAGAGGATTAGAGGGACTAAGAGAGGGCTTTTTACAGCGCATAAACTTGCACGACAAGTTTGTGTCCAATAAATTAGGAATTTCCTGTTGTTCTTTTGCAGCGCGCTCAGTGTGTAATGCCCCAATAAATAAAAAAATTTTAAAAAGCGCCCAACACCAACAACAAATGAGAGCAACAATCTTCCTTGGCATACCGCTTCGAAGGGGCTTGTAGAGGTCTCCAGAGGGAGTTCTGCTCCAGCGCTGGCTGAACTTGGTCCTCAGCTCGTTGTCGGTCGTCTCTTCATTGTCCAGCATCTTCAGAGACTAAAGGACGAGAACACAAAGACGCTGAGAGGACAAAAACACCACTGATACACATCGATTAGCACAAAAGTGCTGTACATCTAAAATAATGAGAGGACATAACACCAGCATAAGATAACAGAGTTTAAAGACACATAAAATGAAGAAACCCGAGTAAGAAATGATACAAAAAAGTAATCAGAACCGATTCTAAAGGTGGGTTTTCAAACGGGTTTGAATATGTATCATGTTGGGGAGGTCCTGATGACACATGAGGAATCTGTTAGACTATTTGGATATTCTTATTATTGTTATTATAATGTCAGGATATGGAAAAATTGCTTATACAGCTGGTGAGATCCTGTCATTGTGGCATGTGTTTTCAGAAACTGCCACACTTGAGACACACGAAGCAGCAATTATTACATCAGTGATTATAAACTTTGCTCGTCCATATTTGTTTGCCTCGTGTACTTTTTAATGATCACTCAACATGCATGTTAAATAAAAAAAACTGAAACTGCAGTTTAATTAAAAATAAAAACTCAATATATAAAGAAATTAAAATCTCAAATAAGCTCAATGAGCTCAATTGTATTTTCGTCTTTTTTTTTTTTTTTAACCTCCTTTTAGTCTCATTAATGACTACTTTTTAGGAAAATTAGGGCATTTCAGTTTGGACTTTTCAACTCTGCCAACAAACTTGGAGGCAGATTGTGCTTTATGTTTTCCCTCCCATCTGTTTATTTGTTTGTCAGCATGATGTTTAAAAAATGGGTTGGCTGAAGCCGGTGGACAGACAGTCCTTGGCCCAACGATCAGTGGATTAGATTCCTGTGATGATGCGGATCTGGGATTTCCGCCACTAAGAACGATTAAGAGGTTTTTTTTAGCATTAACACGCTCTTCTGGTAATAATGGTGGTAGAAAACTCCAACATTTGCGGCGTCCAAGCCAGGATTCATATGCTACGTTTTGAAGAAAGCAAAGCCATATGACGAACAAGCTGTTTGCAGCCTGTTGTTCTAAAAGCGGCTTCTTTGCTTTGTTAAACAGATTTTGGGGTCGCTGCGAGCAGGAAGGTCAGAGGGCACGCGTCTGCTCGCGTCACCGACCTCATCCAGGATCTCTCTGTTGCGGGTCAACAGCTCGGGCAGGTCTTTGATGAGCTGCTCGATGCTCTGCAGTCCTCCGTGCTGCACAACGTTCCTGGCCTTCTCAGCAATGGATTGTGGGATGGAGTCTCCTGACAGATCCTCCAGAGCAGCTGGCAGGTTTAGAGACGCCAACACCCTGATGGAGAAACGCATCATCTGTCAGTTATTACGGCTGCTTGAACATTAATTTGTAGCTCGTCAGCACGGAGCTCATTAAAAACAGCTTTTACAAAGTTTACTTGACGAAAACGAGTTAAAGTAAATATTTTCATTTTACTGCTTTAATTTAATGACAATGCACTCATGTTGACGTCGTTGGCTCAAATTTCTAATAAAGATCTTCAAACGATGTGCTGAGAGCGCCGCACTGACGACACGAGTGCTTTTATCGACACGTTAATGGTACCTGATGCTCCCTCATCTTATGAATTATTAAATTTATTTACAGAAGCACTTACTGACATGTTAACAGGAAGACACAGAGTGGTTTACACAAACAGCAACTCATATGAGAGTTTCCACATAAACTCGGATGGTGAAGTCGTTCTTTTTACGTTACACAGAGCAGGACATCTTCCAAGAAATACTCCTGCATCAGGACACATGATCACCACTGCTCTCACACGGGCCTGATGTGATGTCATGCAAACTTTGAGAGACATGACAGGCAGAATCCCGAATAGAAATCTTTGAATCTTCACAATCTTTAACACACGAGCCAATCGTGTCGTCACACTCTCATTCATAGTAGTTTGTAGGCTGCCTTCTTTCAGCTGCTCCCTTTAGTTGCCGTCCCCATCTCACCCATTCCCAGCATCCTCCTCTGTTCTCCTTCACTACATCCATGAACCTTCTCTGTGGTCTTCCTCTTCTCCTTCTGCCTGACTTTGTCTCCAGATCTTGCTCACTCTCAGCATCTCCAGCTCCGCCTCCTGTCTTTTTGTTAGCACCACCGTATCTAAGCCGTACATTGTGTACTATCCTAGATGTTTCCTTTCGCTGTGTGTAGTAAAGATGTAGGTAAGTGTACTTTTTACACACCCATAACATGAATTAGGATTTCTTATGGTGCTCTGGTGGATAGGGGAAAGGCAAGCATGGTGGTGTTGCCTCACAGCAAGAAGATCCAGGGTCCTCTCGCCCTACGGTAGCTGATATAAGCTCCAGCAACCCTGACTTGGATAAGCGGAAGAAACTGAATGGTTGGCTCTGATTGGAGAAGCCACGTTGATCACGTTGCAGAAGCCATATTGGATGTGTTTTTTCTTTTTTGTTTGTTTTGTGCGCGCAGTAAAAGTTACTTATGGGGAAAAAAGACCAGCTTCACCCGCGAGTCTATATATGCAGTTTTCAATGAAAACCAGAACATCAACATAATAGCTCATCCGGCTCATCCTGTGATCCATCACAGTTCACAGGTTCTTGTATTAAAGTCAGAAAGAAAGTGCACAAACTAATAAGAATTCAAATCCGCTGAGCAGTCACCGAGGCTCACAGTCAGTCATATCTAGGACAAACTCAATCTCATTCACTCAAATCTCACCAATACTCCAGGAGGAGCAGCAACTCTCATATTTCATTTAGATGGAGGCTTTAAAATTACTGCCACAATCATTGCCCCAAAGTGATGAGGCTTTCTTTAATATCATAAACCTTGTTTGCAGTAGCAAACTGGCTGATAATTCAGGTTCTCGCATAAAGCCCCACATATGACGGCGGAGAATCGCTCAGAGCTGGAGCTCATGTGAGCATATAGCTTTACAGACACAGCACAGCATACCCGTTGCAGAGATTAGTCGCCTCCCTCATGGTTCCCACCAGTCTGTTAACAGTCTCGGCCTTCCTCTGGCTGTAAATGCTCATGGACTGCTGCACGGCCATGGGAACCATCTTCTCAAACAAGTCTGAAGTGAAAAGATCGAGACAGGCAAATGGTTTTAAACAAAAAAAATAAATCAATTTTCAGATCAGCTGAGCATCATTCTCAGCACAGTTTCTTTTAGATTTTTTATCATTTTCACTTTTATCTTTTTATTAACTTTCATCAGATTATTTCATCATGTGAGTATGGAGGTGTGTCCGCGGTTCGTACCTGAAAATTTCTGACTGAGTGGGGGTGTGATGGCGGTTGGTTTGACCAGCGCTGCTTTGCCGATTTGCTCGAGGTCTTTGACTTCAGGCACCCGGTCGTGGTAGATAAAGTCGTTGTCTTTCTTAGCTGCTGTGAGGGATCGGTTGATCTTGTCTGTCAGATCCTTAACGCTCACGTACTCGTCGTAACGAGACGCCACAGTCTTAACCAGCTCTGCTGCGTGCTGGATTGATCAAATAAAGGAGGAAAAGTTGTGGAGAAGCATTTAAAAAAAACAAAACAACAAATATATATATAGGGATGGGTACCGGTGTCGTTCTGACATAAACGGTAGTAACCAGACCGAAAAGCAGCGCACATTTCGGTGCTTTATTTCGGTGCTTTTTTTTCCTGAGCTGTGATACACTTCTAGCCAATCATTTTACGTTTCCGAGGATAGTAGGCGGGGCCAGGTACGTACGTTCTTTTATGCAGAGCTACAGATTAAAAATGCCCAAGGAGGACCAGTCAAAGTCTGGCTGTACTTCACAGCAAAAGATGCAAACTCAGCAGCAACAAGTGCTTTAAGCTGATACTGTGATACTGTCAAAGGAGGTAACAGGTAACACCTGGCGACGCATAGCATTTTTTTCAAAAGCCCAGAAATGCGCCGTATTTGATAGCTTGCTGCGAGACCTCACACCGTGCACATCTACTGCGGGTGGGTTGCCTGTTATCGGACCCGGAGCAATATCCCCCAAAAACCCGAAGAGAGTCCTGGCCCCTAGCCCTGCCAGTGTAGCAGAAATGATGAGGATGATGATGGCAGCAGCAGCCGTTCTTCTCTGCGTGAGTAGCTTAATGTTGTTCGTGTGTAATTTACGTTGAGTAGGCTAACCACGTTATTACATTAATGCAGGTAAGGTGAACTAGCAAACATCATCATAGCTACATGCGGCTGTCCTCTTGTTTGATGGCAGATACTCCCTTCACCCTGGCCAAAAAGGCTAAAATGCCCAAAGAAAAAGTGGAAAACAGTTAAACATGAGAGGTTTTTGGACCAATTTTGTGTTCTCCATTCTTTAAGCACCGGTTTGAGCACCGGCACCGTTTCAAAAGTACCGATTTGGCACCGGTATCGGATAAAACCTAAACGATACCCATCCCTCATATATATATATATATATATATATATACACACACATATACATACACATACATACATACACACAATATTATTATATTTTTTGTTTTTCTAAAGGGCTGTAAAGCGAGGGGAAACCTGTGTACCTGCAGACGAGCAATCTCCTCCCCGAACCTCTTCTTCTGCTTGGCCAGGACACTCTGATGCAGCTCGGCATTGGCTTGCATGATGCAGTGCTTAGCTGCAAGCACCGGAAGCACTTCCTGAAAATAAAAATACTGACGAGGGAGCGGCAACCACAGAGCAACACGCAGGCATGCAGACATATATAAAAACACACGCACATACACGCACAGTGGCAACGCAAACCATAAGATGGCAGGCGCACATCAGCGAGGTTAAAAAAAAAAATCAAAAAAAAAAAATCAAATTAAATTAAATAAATACAAAAATAAATTTAAAAAAAAATCAAATTAAATTAAATAAATACAAAAATAAATTAAAAAAAAAAAAAAAAAAAATCACAGAAGCCAGTGACAGACAGGGGTGACAGAGAGGCGTGCAAACACAACACAAGCGCGCACGCACAGACACAACCAGGGCAAACGCCAGCACCACGGCGAGGGATGCAGAAAGAAAGGAAGACAACGAGAGAGAAAAACAGAACAGGCCATGAGTGTTTTAACCTTCCAGAAAAAGCTGCTTCATCAAACATCCCAAAACCAGGTGTGTGTGTGTAGTGTAGAATGGGTCCACTGTCAAGCTTTTTAAAATGTTTTTTTATTATTACCTGGCAAGTTTTCATACTTTTAGCAATACAGCTCCTACTACTAATATCCAGTAGGTGTTTTCTCCTCTCGCGTACTTTAGGTACTGACCTTGGCAGCTGGCCACAGTCAGCAATTAGGACAGGTAGGTCAGGGAGGGGAGCGCAGTTGTCCTTGCAGTGCAGTGACTTTGTGTTTTAGCTCAGAGGGAGAGGAGGGTTTAACTTACTCTGTTTTGTTATGTTCCTTCTTTTGATGGTGATCATGACTCGTCTGTCTCTTAGTTTAATTAATAATAATTATTTTTAAAAATCTTTATTCTGCTCCTTTTTTCCCCCCAACCCAGAAACTTTACGTCCCCATATCCTCTGGACTTTTAGGTGAACGTAGCTATGAGGACAAACTGCTGTAACAGCATATATGAAGCTACTTTCTCGTCACACTTTATTTCCTCGTCACAAGAGCGAGGCATAATTAGTGACTTTTAAATAGTCCCAGATTTGTCCTATCAGAGACATCTAAAGATTTTTATTTATCAACAATAAAATATGGAGCAATAAAATCTCAGTAGAAGCTGAAAGCAAGTCTCGTTTTATACAATTAACTAACGAAATATTAACCGATTATGTTTTTTGTTGGCTGACAAATTGATTGATAAATCCTTTCAGCTTTAAGGTATGCAGATGGAAAATTTTGCGTTTTTATTGTAAGAAAAAATATTTTTCAATGAGCTATAATTTACATTTGTACAGTTTATATCAAACATCATCATTTCTAACACGTCACAGCTGTTACATTTAGACATGTGGAAATTCCCACATTTAAATACTTCAGTTATAACTTATAACAGCTGCCCTTTTCTCTGTTTCGATCTGCTTAACTCCAAAATATTAAACATGCAGCGTGGACCTCTGTTAATGTGTGTGTGTCTATGTGTGGTTGCATCATTTAAATTGTTAGTAACTACTTTAAGATGTCTTTGATTAAACGGAGAGAAACCAATCAGAAAGAACACAGGTCAATATGTAGTTGAGTATTAATCAACCAGTCAGAGTGAAAACAGGATGGAAACAGAAAAATGAGAACAGAAAGGGTGTGAATGGGACAGTCCCACAACCCGAGTATATTTCCCACATAAACACAAAACAATACACACAACCAGACACACTCTAAAGCATTAAGAGTCCACGCTCTGCATGTCTGCACCCCGCCGAGCACATGGCTGACCGTGGATGTGTGGCTTTCCATCTCGTGGTTAATGTGTAACTTTGTGTGTGTGTGTTCTTCATATACCTTGGGGAGGTTGTCCTTATACTGACACTGCTTGAAGGCATCTCCGTAGAAGTCTGCCGCCTGATTGGCCAGCTTAGCGATGACAGCGTCTTTCATCTTATCTACATGGTGAACAAGAGCCTTTTAAAAGGATGCACCAGGCAAAGACAAACATGTGAAAAGACTCCAGATAAGAAGCTGCTTTACTCAAAATCACACATTAACCCTCGACCACGAACGCCGGTAGTCTGACAGTCCCAGGAAAGGATGGACCAAAGAACCAATTCCCACTTCCATTATTTATTTATTTTTAAGATTTGTTTTTTAATTATCACCAAATTCTTCACCAATTTTAGAAACTTGGAGTGTGCTTGTGATGCTTTTTTCCATTTTATGAGATTTACTTTAACATAATTTGATGGGAAGTATTTTTTCTCGGTATATCCAGTAAAACAGACCCAACGTTATTGATAATGATGCTGGTTGGTTGCTTTGGTCAGACTCTAAAGTGGTTCTCTGAGTGGTTTTCAGAGCTGACTGCTTCCACTGCATTAAAACATCACAGCGATACATGTTAGAAAAGTAATCTACAACAAAATTACACAACTTCTCAGCAGATGAGTTTTTGTTTTTTTATATAAGAACCTATTTTATAATGTAATCTTTAAAACTCCAACACACAAACTGTGCAGACAGAATGGGGACAGAAGCTGAGAGTAACTGGGACCTAAACTGCTCCCATCAGCACTGGAAATTAATCTTGAGACCAAAAAAAAAAACAAAAAACTGCTTAAGTGGGTAATTAAAGATGATATATAATTAATTAAAGTACAATACTTCATTTTATTTGTAACATAAGCTTCTGTGAAAATGTTAACTTGCAAGATGGCCCACAGAGTAAAACTGTTAAGCAGTAGTAGAAGTGTCATGCACTTTTTAAAAGTATTCAAAGGGGCTTAAAATAGAGTCTGTGTTTTAAATAAATGATCATCAAAATGCACTGAAAGGCTTAGTCACGTCTTCAGGGTCAGGGCTTTGGTACCTGAAGTGGCTTTAAGAAAGAAGACCTCCTGGGCCTGGGCCAGCATGATGAGGCTCAGGGTGCCTACAGTCTCAGGGGAGATGTCCATGGTGGGCTCCCTGTTCAGAGCAGACAGCACTGTGTCCTTGATGTGGCCAAACGCCCCGCTGGCCAGCTAAAGGAAGACACCAAGAGGAAAAAAATGAATCCAATCCAAAACTAAAAGAAGATTTTTCCCCAAAAACAGAGCTAACTGTAGCTTTCAGCCAGCTTCCCGGGCCTCAAATGCATCATCCATGTGCAGCACCATCAGGTCACATGTTTGATAAGAGCGTCACATGTTAGAAAAGAAATAAAAATACAAATTTGTAAGTCCCGCCTGTTTCTGTCACACTCGGGTCTCGAGCCTGGAGTGAAACATGTCAGATTTGCATTTTGTTTGTTTGTCTGGTTAAACACTCTGCAGGCCTACTCTTTCTGAAGCTTTTCATCCTTCTGGGGAAGCAGATCAATGCAAATATTTATTATCATCAGTGGAAAAGTCAGACTGATGCATTTCACTTCAATTCCTCGAAACCTTAGAAAGATGGGGCTAAACTTTATGAAGTTCATCCTGATAAATTTCTGACAAAGAGGACAAAAATAGACGTACAGCAGAGTAAACCCAAAACAGCTGTAACAGGATGGATCATAAAGGTGCTACAAAGAGCTTTGAACATTTCCTGGCTTCAAACACACAGGCAACCGAAACAGAGGAGAGAAACACTCGGTGCATCTGCTCTCTGGAGAACATTTGCACAAACAATTGAATCCTGGAAATTTTACCCCTTATCTAAATTTCAGAAACAAGAAGAATCGACTCAGTTAAAACAAACAAATGAACAAAAAACAACACAAAAACAATCACAAAAATTGAATATTTCTCCATATTTTTGTAAAAGACAGCTTGAGTGAACTGTTTTATGAGAGACAAAGGTATAAATTATCTTTTTTTTTGGTGGGCTCCGGGTTTAGGTTTTGTTTAAGGATAACTAAATATCATCTAAGTTTTAACAGTGATAGTATACTGTGTGTTACTGTGTGGTAGTACACCCACCTGATAGTATTTGGCAGAGGTCTTCAGTCCCTCGTCATTATCCAGATTCTGCTCTGAGGCGATCTGACTGGCCAGAGCTGCCACGTTGAACAACACACACGTCTTCTCATAGCCCAAACTGGCCAGAGCTGCAACACAAAGGCACAAGAAGGGCTCACTCTCAGTTCCACAACATAGTTGAGATTTTCCACTAACCAAATGTGACGCAGCATACAAAAAACACGGCCACAATTTTCCTTTATTACTATGTAAAATGTTACTTTTCCTAAAATTTCAAAAGTTCTAGATCAACATGCTTTTATTTGATTGATTTCTATAAATTTTTATCTCCAACATGTCAAACCGTGTTTGTTCTTTGAATTATTGTGGTTTAGTCACAGTGCAAATAGATAAATAGTCATTTACAGTAAGTTTGTAAATTATTAAACTTCTGATAAAAAACACTGCTACACTTATAACAAACTGTTGATTGATCACAGTCACATGACGTTATTGCCACAAGCTTTAAGTGGCCAGTATCACAAAGAGGGAAAATCTCATTGGTCAGGTCGCACCCCTAGGTGTGTGTAGCTGCACTGAGCTGGGGATTTCCCATCCCAGCTGAGAGGTTTGCTCATTATATAGTTCTGAGAGATATTTAGAGACAGCGAAGTTGAGATAACAAGCACTGACAATATTGGAAAGTCCAGATTTTTGTGACTACGTCACTGCTTTTGTTTTTGTCAGGATTCTCTGTCTCTTCTTGCGCTGCATGGGTGAGAAAACTCACAGAGAGGACAAAGTGACATCAGTTTTTTTCCACTGAATATTGTTTCAGGTTGTTGAAACAGCTGTTTGCACGGATTTACACAAACATCATTCCTCTAAATTAACAGAAACAATCCAATGGTTGAGAACTCCAGCTGATCAATATGACGTATGAGTAACTGTGTGTGCATGTGATTTCCTCTTGCTCTGTTACACAAGAAACACATGTCAGCACCACATACTTCTTTATGAAATCTTTCTAACTCCATATGACATCTTGTTGGGCCTGTTTCGTATGTGCATTGAATTAAAAAGAATTGTTTCTCACTGGGTGTGTTTCATGTCTGTGTATGTGAAAGAAAGAGATGAAAACACAAAGAGACAGGAGGAATAAAAGACAGAACAACAACTACGTACCTCAGGGGCAGAGTTTTAAATTTACAGGAATTAACGTGATATAATTTCCTCCTTTTACAGCCAACTGTTATACACACAATGACATGCACGTGTTCTTACGGAGGTAAAAATACGTGTTGAAAAAGCCAAACTTACCGAGCTTGACGGAGCCGCCAAACAGCGATCCTTTATCAAAGGCATCCTTCCATGTGAAGGTTAAGCAGAGCTGCAGAAACAGGAAGAGGTGTTTAAGTGCTTTGGCTCTGTAACTAACACACGGTCATGCGTGCTGCAGCTCAATCATTTACCTGGTTTTCAGAAAAGGGGAACTTGGGCTCGACGGCACACAGCTGATCATAATATCTGCAGAGAGAGACGAACACCACAGATTGAAACTTTGATTTTGTTTATATCTAAATCAAGAAATAACGTTTCTCTAAAAAGTACTCAAAGGGACTTCAACTCATGGTAAGTTAGGAAAAAAGGAATGAAGAGACTTTGAAACATAATTAAAATGAACCAGCTGTATAGAGGTAGAGAATGTTATGACATCTGGTGTGAGGAAGCTCAGCCATTTCAGAGTCATCTGACAATGACTCAGGAAACAACAACACACACGCGCACATACACACACACACCTCGGCTCTTTGTCCTATCAGTATCAGCGCCTGTGATGTGTGAGCAGTCTATTCTGAGGTATGACATCAGGGAATCCCTTTTACCGATCCTTCAACATTTCTCTCCTGAACTCAAAACACATCAGTAAACACACACTGGCGTTTAAAACAGAACAAACTGCATACAAAGTTTGTATCCTATTCTCTCTCTCCCTCTGTCTCTCACTCACACACGCGCACACACACACACGCACACACCTGAGCAGCGGAAAGGTGAGCCGAGGCGTGCCACCTGGTTAGCATGAGAGAAAAAGAAAGGTTCCTACGCAAACAATGGTCACCATAGTGACACAATGCTAACATTCAGTGATGGCGGCTTAATCAGTTTCAGCATGCTTCTGATCGGTCCTGAGCAGACTGCTACTAAACCACAGGTCCCACATCACACACAAAAGTCGGTAAGTTAGTTTAACCAACAGATTATTATATTAATTTTTTTCAGACAGAATTATTTTTAAATTGGTTTCTATCAATATTTCCCTCAGAAAACCCAAGAAAACAAAAGAGCATAAACTAGCGCTCACACAGTAAGGAAATTTGTTCACGTTTTTAGAGAGACAGGACAGAAAAAAATAACTGGGCTGACTTTTGATCAATTATTTCCAGTCAGTTATTTAAAATCAAAATCTTAAAATAAACAAACACAAACTTCAATATACCTACCTACACAACAACAAAAGGTTGGGATCACAAATTCGCATACCTGGACACTTACTAAGGTAATATGAGAGGACTCTATGCATTAAATAAATCACGAGTCATATTAAAAAGGACAAAGTCCGTACCTGTATGTCACCCAGGAATAAGAAACAGGCCTGTTCAAGATATATTCATTGCAGAAGAAAGGCTACACTGAAACTAACCCACTAATATACTTTTGTGCCCTTATTTTGGAAGTTAACTTTAATCTCAGCGGTCATAAGAACACATAGGCTGCAGGTATATAATAACCCATCAAGTTTAAGAAAAGTCACAAATATTAAGCTGATTTTGTCCCCCAAATTGAAGTTTATAAACACATTTATCCCTCTCCCTGGAAAATATAATCTCCCTCTCCCCCCTCCCTCACCACAGCCTGGGGTTCAGGATCATTTGAGTGCCACATCTCTCTCATCCCTCATTAGTGCCATGCCTCATTTATAAGTAAGTGTAGTTACACGGGAGGAAAGGCACCAGTTAACAACATAGAGGTGACAAGGACACAGAGGGACTTTGTTTCACAAAAATATATCACATCTATCCTACCAACTTCCTCTATGCAAAGCACTTAACACAGTGACACCATTTATGCTCAGCTTTATGGAGCTCTCAGTGACATCAGCAACTTCTGGCTGACAGGGAAAGGCACGGTCTGGACTCTCTCCCTTTTGTTTTTGCACCTGTAGATGAGCAGACACATACTGAGGCTTTTCTCACCAACACAGCCTCTGTGCTGACAAACGCGTCAAAACTGCCAGTTAGACGTGATTAAGCTGCATTTTGCTATTGCTAACACTCACACTGAAGGCTTCCTTCTCTAGGCATTTGCGACAGGTGTCTGTGTTTTAAGTATAAGTTTGTTTCTTACAACTCAGGTTCTTTTCTCACATTCAGAAAGTTCAAATTCAGTGTTTACCTTGTCTAGATTTAGCTTATAGTTTTCTTTAAGCCACTTAAGCGTAAAGGCCATAGCTATAAGTGTGAACCAGGTCGGCTTTCCATGCCCAATTTACCCTCACAAGCAACTGACAGTTCGGTTAAACCAGCCAGCACATCCCGCCTGTATTCCCCCCCGCAGGGAAACTTGGCAGGAGTAACAAATGACTCAGTTATTTCCCCGAGAGCGTCCTCCTAGCATTTTAGCTTGGTGCTAGCAGCTCAAAGCTAACCCCGCTGGGTGCGGCGATGGCCGAGCTAAATCAGCGCCACAGGTGAGACAGCCGTTCGAACAGTTGGCGTTAGTTACATAGCAGGCGGTTCACGTGTTATGAAACAGTGTTTTGTTTTTTACCTGAGTAAAATCTCCAGGGAGCTCTCGTGTTTGTCTAGCGGCCTTCCCAGCGCGCTCTTGCGGAGCTTGTTGAGCTCCTCCACGGCGCGGAGATACTCTCCCTGATCCTCGCTCGCCGGGTAAGTAGACGTTACGAATTTCGACAGTGGTTTCACCAGATCCACTTCGGACGATTTTTTCAACGGGACTGAAATAAACGTCGCCATTTCGGCCCGTGAAAGCGCTTTATTAACTCAGAAAAAACAGATGGGAACAGCGAGCCAGGGACACAAACAAGAACGATCTAACCACTTCCTGGATTGTGACAAGCGACGTCAATTACGTAATGGGAAGCGCCGAGGCGCAGCGCGCAGACTCAGTGCCGCTTTACTGAGAAATGAGCAAATGGAAAGAGAAGGAGCTTTGATCTTCCTATTTTCCGTGATTGAACTCCGCCAAAACCTGGAGTTTAATCTGCTGTAAATTGCTGACCTATATACTGCCAAATATATCTGAAATTGAAAGCTATCACGTCACTGTCACGAGGTAGAAACTGCAATCAGTGTTTTGTTTATGTTTTTGCCAGTTTCCCTTATATGTATCTTTATATATACAGATATTATAAAATGTTATTTGGCAAAAAGAAAAAAATTCAAACGAGATCTGGCCAAGAAAACAACAGAAACTGAAACAATTATAACATAACAGTTCTAAAAAATATATCATAAGCGGCCAAAGAGCATTAGATTCATTACAATGTGGAACACAGAGTATGTACAATGAAGCAGAGTCATAAGAATATTTACAAAACAGGTCATTTCTTTATTTTATATATTCCTCCACTGCAAATCCAAATACAGCTTATTTGGCAAAATAAGCAATGATATTCGAAATTTAACAAATAGTATACAAACAGCTGGTTGTTCAGTTTGCCTTGCACAAGGAAGCTGAACAACACCAAAGGACCTAGAAGACCACTGAAGAATTCAAAAGTGGATGATGGCAGAATACTTTATTTGGTTAAGATAAACAACTTCACAGCATCTGCGTCAAGAGCGACGTACCATTATCAGAAAAAAGCTTCTGAATGTGAAAACAGAGGTGTTTATAAGAAGGTGTAAACCACAGGGTACAATCAAGAACAGGAAGGCCAGATCACACTTAACTGGAATACACCTAAGAGACAACCTGCACAGTCCTAGAAATAAATTAAATAAAACGAGCATGAACTTGAACCACAACGATGAGGAGAGATAATATAGAGAAGGAAAGGATCCGATTCACCCGATCTCAACTCCAAAACCTTTGGGTTACTAAAGATAAAACCGAAAGCAGAGAAATCCACAAACCGCAGCAGCTAAAAGGTGTCATCCAAGGCACATTTGGATGTTTTCACAAACTGTACAGCGCGACTTTATAAAAGCACTGAATATTTTACACATTATAAATTCTATTTTCTATAATTTCATGTATCCTTTCTTTGGTTTCTTCATTTTCTACGTTGTCACCAAAATGGCGAAACAGTTATGTGCAAACACTTGTCAGTAAAGGTGATTATTGAGGATAGGCATATCCCCCAGAATGTAGACCCACTGATGTGGGTTTTTGTCTGGTTTGGTCATTAATTTGCACCTGCTATATTCACTCCTCAGCCCAGGTGTGATACAGCCTCTGATAAGAGAAAACCAGAGTTTGCATGATTTTGGGTCCTAAACATCTGTTTTGGGGGCTCACAGGCAGGTGTTTTGTGCTCACAATCTGCTTGATAAACTATGAGTCAATGCAGCGCCTCATTTAATTGTCCTGCAACAAAAGGCACACCACAATTCTTTGTTGATGACCTTTAACACACTCAAAGAGATACTTTCAGTCTCCACGCCAGGTGCTTCCTGTTGATCATCTTCTTCATTTTAATCTTTCTAATGCCTGAACAACAACATAATTGCCAGAATACTCAATTTAAAATAAAGGTGTTTATCAAACCTAAATAAAAATAAATAAATAAAACAAATTAACCCACTACTTTTAATTCATCCATTATTTTCATTTTGAAAGTTTAGTTTTTGGTTGAAAAAGAAAAAAAAAAAAAGAAAGAAAAAAAGATAAAGATAAAGGGATGATGTAGGTCTCAAAAACACCATTACAGTTGTAATAATAAAGCAGGACACCAGACAAAGTTATGAAATCATTTATTCCCAGCACGTGGTTGTGTACATCTCCAGCATATGATACTGTGTACATAAGCATCATCATCATCAGACATTGTACTGTACATCAACAGTGGTCACCTCTCGAGCTCGCACTCTCTTACACACAGTCACACAGACAGTCACGCGGTCAGGCCTTCAGCGGACCAAAACTGCTATTCAAGAGTTCGCCGGACTCGCTCTATTAATGTCTGAGCTGATGACCACAGCTTTACTGCGCTGCGGCGCTCACGTCCTCCTAAAACACCACAAGAGCTACAGTCCTGGCTCTGGCGTGTGGGGAGACAAAAACGTTTTTTTTTTTTTAGTCTTGACATTCTGTTTTATTTATTTTGTTCTCCTTCTCGGTTAAGAAGAGGGGAGGGGCAGTAGGACTACTGACTACACATCAAGCTTGAATTTTGTGAATTTCTTCAGTGCAGGCTTGGTCTCTAACGTCTGGAAAAAGACAGAGGGGTTACAGTCACTGACAAAAATTACCATTTCCTACCTTCCCCCATCTTCCACATGCTCTTTACTACATTAGCAAGCTAAAACACGGTTTCATTATACCAACAGGAAAAAAGTTTTTTGTTGTTGTTTTTTTTTTTTTTTTTAAACTGACATAATGAAGTCTTTGCAAGAAAAGAAAAATGATACGAGTGCACACTTAGACACACACACATTCAGACACTGACACGCTCAAGTGTACGCACTTCAAAAATGCTGAAACACCGTGTACCAAAAATCATTATGTCGACTTAACTGAACCCCCAGGAGCAGTGAGAGGCTTCCCGTCACTTTTTCAAAGATAAGGGCGCTCGAAAGACACGACTTCCTGCGTTCAGCTACGTAAAAATACAAGGTGGATGTGGTGCTGTGAAGGTTTTCTCCTCTCCAGAAATAAGACTATTGAAACCAGGAGATAGCGGGTGTTTGGTGTTTTTTCTTTGCAAAGCAGATCCTGGAACAGAGGGTTTATTACTTTTGCGCACAAGCAATGCTGCTAAATTTGACTTAATCGTCTCTTAATGCTTCTAAGGTGTCCAGAGTCAGGCAGAAAGAAAAAAAAAAAAAGCAGATGAATCTAAAAGCCTGTTTGGTCCCCATGATAGGAGGTTTTAGGATAGGCTGACTGTTTTCTTAAGAGGTTTCGTCGTTTTGTTTTGTTTTTCCCTTCTTGCACACAAACGGCCAAGAATCACATGTCTCTGAACGAGTGTTTCAAAGTCAGTACACAAAGCAGAGGAGTCAAATATGAAGTGTATGCGCTGTGTGTGTGTGTAAATGTGAGTTAAAGATCGCTCTATTTAAAAAAAAAAAAAAAAGCCAGTATGGCACCAGAAACACGTAAATTCAATGAAAGAAACGGCTGATCCATAAATAAAGCACGAAGTAAAATGAGTAAAAGCTCAGAATAAACAGGACGTGCATCGGGAAAGCTGGGCGTGACGTCGCGTCAGCACAGAGATATGGCTGTAAATCACTGAGGACGACTTCGCGAGACGAGAGTTAATGAAAGCAGTCAGTCTGACAAAGTCAAAGAAAAACAAAAAACATCTACAAAACACCCGTTTCTTTCCGGGGGTTACCAAGCTTGGCTGATCAATACGTGGTTGGTTAATTAATGGTTTATTAAGACAAACCCATCGAGAATGTTAAACAAGCAGGGCACGGTGGGATTCTCCTTTAAGCGAGTTAGTATGAGATCGCATGCTGTTCAGCAGTACAGGTTACCAAATACTGGCCTAGTGCTGGTTGTGTGCGTTGTGAAGGAAGGGCAACGAGCAATAAGGAAACGCTTTCCTTCTCCTGCCGACCCCCACTCCTCTCACGGAGCCGCCACCCTCCGATCTCCACACAAAAACCATACAAAAGACAGAAAAATAAAAAAAAAAAATAAAATAAAAATACATAGAACATTGCTAACTTTCCCCCCTTTATCCCACATCCCACCGGTCTCTCTTCTTTGAACTAAATCTCCTTCGTTAATAATGTTTTCAATATGAAACAGTGGACACACCCATGTCAGATTCTAACATTTACATGGCTTTAGCGCAGTCTGTCTGCTTCCCGTCGAGCTATCGCTTAGAGAGACAGGGAGGAAGAAGAGGGAAAGAGTAGAGGCAGGCAGAGGGATGGACAGAGGGAGGCTTCAGCTCCAAAACAGAGGGTGGAGAATTAGTGATGCCATCTGTCCTCCTCACTACTTCAAGATTAGATGGAGTCCTTCGCCCGACTCATCTGCAGAGAGGGGGAAAAGTGAAGGGAGACATTACATCCTCGTCTAACAGTGATCTAGGTTGTGGCTTTTTATCTGTTAGCAGAGACTGCTGACCTTTGACAGTGCTGATTAAAAAACAGCTCTCGTCAGGGAAGTTGTAAACCATCTGTGGGAGAGAAGTAAAAAAACAAAACAGGGTGAAGCGCTGGAGCTCATGAAGCATTCTCAGCAGGTTAAAGGTTTGTTTCGGTAGCACACAGGTCCGACTCCGAAGAGCGACACAGTGTGTGTGACACACAAAGAGCCCATAAACAACATGCAAATAAGAGACACGATGATGGCGCCCGGTTATTCCTCTGTAAGCTGTGAGTGTTTGTAGCTCAGGAGGCAGAGCAGATCATCGATAACTGAAGGGTTGGTGGTTCACTCCTCGGCTCAACACGGGTATTTTTCACTTGTTAGGCAAATGTGTAAACCACTACACTAAACCAGATCTCAAACCCACAACTTCTATGGTGCCTTATTTCTGAGCACGGTGTTTGTGGAGGTATTGTACATCCTGAAAGCTGAGTGAAAAGGACGTCACCATGTCCACTAAAGCACACAGTGAGGCATTTTCCTGTTTATGGGTGGACTGTGGCTTGGGAGGTAGAGTGGGTCTTCTGTGAGTATCCTTGAACCCCAAATTTCCCCTGAAGCATCAGTCAGTGTGTGTGTGTGTGTGTGTGTGTGTGTGAGTGATTGTTAGAAAGTACTTAAAGTAGAGGTTAAACGCATGTGTGTGTGAATGCTCTCAGTGCACTAGCAGGGCACCAACCCACTTACCATTTATTCCACTGTTTTTTAATTAAAGACTTCCACTTCATGAGTCTTTCAGGGTCAAGAATGTGACACTCAAAATATAAAGAGAGAGAGAGAGTGTGTGTGTGTGTGTGTGTGTGTGTGTGTGTGTGTGTGTGT